TGCAGCTACCAACAAAGATGATATACTTGCCATCTTGTGTACATAAGCTTAAATTTGCCCTCACTCATGGTTTTTTTTTCTTGATAATTATTCACACTGCCCTAGTATTTGTAAGGGTATTTATTTGTGATGAGCCTTCTAGTGTTTTTTTATTTGTTGTTCTGTCAGCTGGTTGTGCTGTTAAGATTTTCATTACTTACAGGGGCTGGTGTGTGTCTGGAGTTTTGCTGCTACAGAGTTCTTTGCAAGGAGATATGAGTTCATCAAGCAGTGGGACACAGGAGGATAACATTGTCTATACTTTCCAAATTGTCAGCTGTAGTCCAGCAGTGCTGGGTAACACTGATGACAGCAAAGCTATGTGTATGTACAAGAAGAAATATATCACTACTGCTATCTGTGCAGCCATACAGCTTGAGGTCCTCTGAATTAGGTGACAGAAATGCAGTAGGTGTACTTGGTAAAACAGTTGGTGTGCTACTTACGAGTCAGATAACTAGAAAAGGTGGGTAAGCCACAAGGTAGGTAAGAAATGGATAGAGGCAATTGTGGAAAAATGTTACTATAGCTGAACTTTGTAAGGTTTGCCCTTCACACTGATTTTATTAGTAATTTCAGTAATGACCTTGACATGAGCAGAACTTTCTGAAGGAGGTTGCAGATGGCACCAATTTGGGAGGGTCTGTCACTATAGAGAAGGATTAAAGTAGCAATAGCACTTGGTGGCCTTGAGGACTGAAGTGATAGAAAGGGATAAAAATGAGAAATACCGAATGAAAAGCTGTACTCTTAAAACTAATGAGAAGAGTTTCTTAAAAATGCTGGGAGTTTATCAGAGGAAAGTGACGTATTGGAATTAAATTTGGGATATTACTCAGTTGGCAGAGTGCATGTTTCCAGTATGGTGCAACTGTGTTAAAGGTAGGTTGACTCCTTCAACACATCAGATAAAGGGACATTCTGTAGAAATGGGGCTGTATTCATGCTGTATAGCATGTATACTCATGCTGGTAATTATTGTTTTGGTAAACACACTGTTGGGGGAAAGGACGAGTTAAACTCAAGGGATTTGGTAGAAAAGGAAGCAATTGACATAAGCTGGATGTGATTGAAATTAGTATCAGATTTTGATGTCTGTACTGCATTCTTATTTTCTTCTGTATTGTAACTCAAGCAGGACTTGAGTTACAAGCCAATGCATAGGTTGCTCTGAAAGTAATGTCTGCTATTTATTTCCATGGAAAGCACAACAAATATAAAGAAAACATTAACACTGTTTTATAGAGCAAATTCTCAGCTGCAAATCAGTTTTTTTCAGCACAGTCACCATTATTAGCTATGCATTTTTGCCAGTGATAAAGAAGAGTGTGCATGCTGTGCTTGTAGAAGTCTGCACCACCTTCTGCATCGCTGTGCTCACATCCACTATTTGGTCTCCATAGATATTCAGGAAGTGTCAATGAATGTGGGTGGGTGGGATCTTTTCTGCATAAAGAAATTCAACTCCACTCCTTTGTTTCATATGCACTTTCTTGTCCGGCACCATTTTGTCAGATTGCCCCTCTGCTGCTGTCTGTTGCCCAGCAACAACGTGTAACAGAATATTGGTGGGAAGGTTCAACCTCTACTGCTGTGCCACCAGCGTCTACCTCTGACATTACAGGCCAGCATAACAAAACCAGAGGCATTAATTTTGGAGCAGTCTTCATACAATTTACTTATTCCTCAGCTACGTTTTCAAAAAGGAAAAGAATGGATTGAAAACGTGCAGCTTGCCTGACACAGCGCAATGATCACGTAACATGGCGATGGGAGGTTTTGTTTTGTTGGCTCACTTGGTGCCTATAGTCATGTTCTGCTGCTGCACAGGAGAACTTCTTTTAAGCAGTAGCATACCTTCTGGCTATGGACAAGGTCTTGCTTCTGGCCAGAGACAGTCTGGTGTCATTTTTGATCTATCAAGCTCAGCTCTGCTTGCTGACAAGCGTAGTTATTTTTCTTGTATGTTATACCTAAATTGTCCCATTCTTAGTTACATCCTTTTTTACTTATATTTCTTGTAGCACATTCAGCACTACAAGTGCCTCTCTTTGTTTGGTATTCAAACCTTTTAAAATTGTTAGAGTGCTTCTGTTCTGCTATTCCTTAGCCACCTTCAGAATCTTCAGCAATTTTAATCCTTTTCCTGAGTAAATTCCTCTTGCATGCTGCTCATTTATTTGCTTTCTGTAAACACATTCCATGTTGTCTGAGTCTCTATTAATGAGGTGTCTTAAAGTGAATGTAGAATTCCAAGGGTGATTTTAAAATTTTTTTTCACTACATTCAGTAAAGCAAAGCTGGTAGACCCTGGTAGTCATAAGGACCTTGTACTGAATGACAATCAGGGAGAGGAATGGTGACCTCTCCTGTCATAACATAATGTCTGTTTGTGTTTACTTTGGTTTTGCTAACTTAAATCGTTGTAACCTTTTGTCTAATTTGCTCTGCACTTTCACCTCAAGGTCTTACACAGCCCAAATGCGTGCTGAATTCCTCTCTTCACCACAGTAGGGGTTTTTGTGTGTTTGTTTTCTCGTTTCACCTGACTGCGTTCTTCCAAAATGAATTCTTTGTAAGTTATTTATCCAGTGGCATTTTCAGTGAGAGTGCACTGAAGGCCAATAGTGATGGAGTACTGTACTAGAGAAAGAAAACGGGCAAGCACGTGTGGGAAATTTGGTGGCTTAGATGACAGGCTCTTCCAATTGTTTTTCCACAAGTATTTTAAATACCTTATTCCCATAAATATTCGAAAATCAAACCTTGTCCTGATCCCCTTTTACTGCTTCTTTGGGGATGTAGAAATAGAAAGCTAGGAAGCTGGTTAAAACAGAATTCAATTTTTTTTTTAATTTTTTTCACTTAGAATGGTTAGTGAAAGTATTTTTTTCTTAAGTCTAAGAATCCTATCAGAATATCTGCATTTCAGTCCTTCAGCAAGTGTGCATGAGATAAATGTGTACAGAAAATGAAGCTACGTCAGTCTTACAGAGTTGGATATATGAAATGTTTGTATCAGAGGTCATATATAGCATATGCAACTTTGAAAACTTAAGGGGCTATATTGCATTGAATGTATGCAAAGGGGTTGCAGTTATTTCTTAACTTTCTGTAAATATGAATTCTTTTTGTCTGAGCTATAATGACAGATCACTATTCACATTTTGCACTCTAAACCTTAGAAATATGGATCTCTAAGGAGGAGACTGTGGAACTACTCTGGCAGCCTGTGCCAGTGCTTACCCGCCACACAGTAACAAAGTGCTTCCTCATCTCTAGATGGAATCCCCCATATTCCAGTTTGTGCCCGTTGCCTCTTTTGTTGGCAGTGAATGCCACTGAGAAGAGCCTAGCTCCTCTTCTCTGTACCCTCCATTCAGGCATCTACAGACGTCAATAAGGTGCCTCTGAGCCTCTTCATTTCAATCTGAACAGTCTCTTCACAAGAGAGGAGCTCCAGTCTCTTCATTTGGATGGCCTTATGTTGAACTATTTCTAGTATATTTGCATCTCTTTCCAGGATGTCAATATTTCATATGTCCGTGTCTCTCTTGTACTGTCCTTCATTGCTTCAGTGATCTGTGCTGGTAATTCAGAAGGAAACATTTTTCCCCTCTGTCAGAACTTACGGTAATACCTATGTGGAAATAAGGAACTGCATGACTGTGATATACCACCTGGTTGTCTGATTTGGTGTGAGGGCAGCATTCGCCATGATTCTGTAATGGCTCCAGCACTCACCTGAGGCATGGAGGGCTATCCTTCCTTGTTCTACAGTCGGTGTGCTGCAGAAACAGTTCTTATGCTTCCTTATCATTTGTAGTTACGAGAGCATTCCTCATAAGGATGGTGTTTTAGCTTGGTGGCTGGTGGTCTTCCAGTTTCTCTTCCAGGCTGTTGGTACGGAGCTTCGCATACTTTGTCCTGATGCAGTAGTGTGGCTTTGTTCTATAGCTACCTAAAGAGGAAGTCACTGTGCTCCTCTCAGAGGCTGCTGCATATTGTAGGTGGTAAAACAAGACCTTGCCTGGCTGCCAGGCATTCTGCAGGACGCACTGGTTAGTATAGCATCACCTCTGCTTATGGGGACAGCTATCTGTATGCTGCTTACACTGTGCGTCTGGTGGCATTTATAATGATTGTCTTTTAATTGGCTTTTAATTGCTTGGTCAGCACTCTGTTGTAGAGCATTATGCCACTTTCTGGTGGCAGGGAGGCCTGGCAGTGGAATGTCAGAGTTGAGAGGCTTCTGTGTGACCGTGGTGAGGGATTGATCTGAGGCCCTGGTATTGTTTGTTTGCACACAGGAGATTGTTAAGTTGAATAACATCTATGAGTGATGAGGAGCACTGGTATGGAGGTATGCAGCAATGATAGGATGATTTAAACAGCTTTCCTGTGCTGCTTCATCTTCACAGATATTATAAGTTGGATTAGTATGGGACAGAGGAAAGGAAGAGTGAAAGTGGGGAATGGTGTGATGGAGGGAGGGCAGAGGGAACCCACATTTGCTCTAGTAAGCAAATGAACAGGCTGAATCTCCTCCCACCCATTCACTTTTGGTTCCTGCTGTCATCTGTGGGTGGAAACATGAGTCCTCCTAGAACCCATCTCAGCAGCTTCTTCCATGCCTTCATTGTTGATATTTATCTGCCTATATCTTCCATCTCATTTTCCTCCTCCTTACTAGAAACCTTATTCATACTCACAGATGTTTTTTCTTTTTTTATGCCGGGCAAATGTTCTAAAATAACTTCTGACTCCACAAACATCTTCATGTTGCTTCCTGTGTGGATCCTTCCCTAAGCATTCTTGATCACTTTGCAGTTGATGGCAGCATAAGGACATTGGCTTGTGCCAACCTTTTGGTCCTGCAGAGACATACAGGGTCTGCTCCTGTCCCTAGCAGGTACCCTGCTTTGTGTGGCACTGTGTGACCAGCTCCTGTTTCCTCACAGATCTCTCGCAACCTGGGAAAACTCTACAGTGAAATGATCTTTGTGAATGGCTTTGTCCACTGCGACCCACACCCAGGCAATGTGCTGGTGAAGAAGTGCCCAGACTCTGGCAAGGCCTACATTATTCTCCTGGACCATGGGCTCTACCAGGTATGTAACTGGGGGGGCTTCCAGGTCTCTGCAGGGCTCCCTTGAATATCAGGCTGGAAGATCATAACCAGCTGCTCTGTTGCTCCTTGAAGTCTGTATGAATGTATTTCTCCTCTTTTTCCTGTAACTCTCCAAGGAAACTTCCTGACTTGGGGGATAAGGCACAGCTAGGGGACGCAGTTTTCCTCCTCCTTTCTTCTCTGTGGACTTCTGAGGGGTCATGTCTTTCTCCTCAGGTGCTGAGCGAGTCATTCCGCATGGACTACTGCCGCCTTTGGCAGGCCCTTATCAAGGCTGACATGAAGAGGGTGCAGAAGTACAGCCGGCGGCTCGGGGCAGGGGATTTGTACCCTCTCTTTGCCTGCATGCTCACTGCCAGGTCCTGGGAGTCTGTCAACAAGGGAATTGACCAGTCACCAGTCTCAGCCAGCGAGGTAGGACTCATGGGCCCTTCCGTACTGGGAGTCCTTCCTTCTCCTTGGATATTTTTCCCTTGTTTTAACCACTTGCACTGGTGCTATCGCAGTGATGTTGGATAACCCTTGGCAGCTCCATGGCAAATTCTGCATTTACAGCTAAGCTAGAAAAAAGTGAGGAATTTTTCTGCAATGTGTTTTATAGTGGCTGAACTTAATTTCCCAGTTTCACTTGTCATGGGCTGCTTAAATTTTGTACGATATTTTAATGGGTTAGTGTTCACCAGTTCTGGGAAGGCAAATCAGCCTTTTCTTAAAAAGAAGTGTTTAATGCAGCTGTGCAGGCAACCAGCAAGGAGGATAGGATGAGGCAGAGGAGACATAAAGTCTTAGTGGGAAGAAGACATGAGAAGGGTAATGCATTATCACTATTCATGTAAATGACTATCAGCACTGATACAAACTCCTAAAAACCCTTGGAAATTACCTCCCAATCACAAAACCTATTAACTTGAAGTCAAGGTTGCTTAACTGCAGGTTCTGTCAACTCAATCACTACAAATGCGGGAAATTGCGACTTACGTTCCTCCCCCCCTTCCCTATCTGCACATGCTGGGATCCTTCTCACACCTCCTAGCGCTCGTTACGTGCACGCAGTGCCTTAAGAATAGTAGCAGCCCCTGCCAGCTGTGCTTTTTTTAGAGATGAGCATATACTGATGTGATTTCAGTGTCTGTAGGGAGAAATATGTTATATTCTATGTTTTGTTCTTATCTGCAAACATTTGTTGTAGATAGGATGATAATAATTTAAGTAGCATTAAAATATTGTTCTGTTAAATTCTCTTTTGGAAATCCCTGTGGGTTGGCATTTCATTTTGGTGGATGTGGCTGAATTTGCTCTGCTGGCTTGCTGTTACACACAGTAGTGAATAGGCCAGATACTTTGGGTAAAAGAACACCCCTGGTAACTTGATTGCTTCCTACCTAAGTTAATTTTGTGCATATTAGAAATGATTTAATGACTGTTTAGCAGATCTGTGCTTTGGTCTGCTGAATTCTGAAGCTGATAGCTCCAGGAAAAAAAAAAAAAAAAAAAAAGTAGGGGCACTAAAGTGAACCAACACAGTGCTGACTACACGGCTAATACTTCAAGGCCAGTGTTGAATCTGAGCTAGTAAGCAATGTTTATCCTAAACCGGCTTATGTAAGTTATGCTAGAGATATAACCATGGCCGCGTGGTGCCTTGTGTGGGCTAATGAACTTTGTCAGAACTGGATTGCTTGTAGGGAGCCAGCTCTGTTGGCTCTGCCTACATGACACAATTAATGCTGAAACTAGATAATCCTGTAGCAGATAATGGGGAGCTGAGCAGATTTACTGTGGCATTAGGAAATGAGCTGCTGTTTGCCCTTAGTTTAGAGGTGAATTTGGAAGATTGTATCAGCCGGGAAAGCCAAGTGGCTCTGGTAGGCAGCTGCCATCAGCTAGGGGCTTGTGAGAGGGTGCGTGAGGGTGGATTGACAGGAGAATGTTCTGTGAGACCCTCCTGATACAAAATCTTAGTTGCAGTGCTATGTCCAATCTGGGGCACTGCCTCTGGAGGAAGGTTTGATGAAACTTGGGAGAGGCCAGTGGGAAGCTATGAGGACTGGTGGTCAAGCAGATCTAACTCAGGAGGTAAGTCAGGGCAGAAGCAATCTAGAAAAGTTCAGGCTGAGAATTTGTGTGTGTGATTTCAGTCTGTTAAAGACTGCTGCAAGCAGGACAGGAAGTATAATGGGCATAAAATTTCAGCTAAGAAGATTTGAGTAAGAATATGAGAAAAGCCAGATCTAATGGAAAGGGTAGTGAGATACTGGTGCAGTGGTCTGGGGAGGATGCTAGTCACATCACTGGGGAGTTTTAAGGACAGGCTGGGCGAATGTGTGAGGATTTCTCTAGGTGTAGTTGTTCATGCCTAAAGCCAAGGCAGGCAGCTGACTGCTCAAGGTGGCTGCTAGCCCTATCTCATCAGATTTTATGATTGCGTTTTGCTGCATCCCGCAGCTGTCTCTGTGATTGCAGCCAAGGGGCTTTTCTCAGGTCCTGTGGCACATCTCAATTCTTCCTCCATGTGCAGGCTTCACTCTTGACAGAAAATGGCAGTTCTGATGACAGATCATGTGGCTGCTATGTGGTGTGTACAAACAGCTGGAGCTAAAAATACAAAGAGAAGAAAGAGAAAACAAAACCTCTTTGTGGAAGATAAAGTACCTCTGCTGTGGTGCTGGTGAGGATAATGAATATCAGCAGAGAATTTTCTGCCAACAAATAGTGGAATGAAACATTTAACATTTAGGAGAACTGAGCATCTTCTATCTGAAGCTTTATGTGTTTGGTCAGCAATAGAGCCAGAACATCATTTATAATTTATTTGTCAACACCAAAGCAACCGAGGTGGTGCTTGAGCTAGATATACCTATGACCACCATGGCCTGCATACTGCTTTTGTGTGGGCTTTTTACTCTGTATTGAGTCTTAAGTTTGCAAAAGTTGAGTATGAGATCTCATATCATGAAGTACGTACACATACACACATTCTGTCATTCCGTAGGAGAGAATGTTTTATAGCAATCCTTTCCTTTCCTTACAAAGGACCCTCTCTCTCTTTAAGAAGTCATTTACTACCCTCTACATCTGTCCTGTTGGATTCTGGCTATTTCAAGTGTTTCAGGGACTTTTGGGGGGGTTTACCAATTCATGTCATGGCCTTTGTAGGAAGAGGTAAGAGCAGAGTATATATGGAATCAGATCTACCATCCTGTCCTACGTTTCCTGGAGTGATGGTGAAACTGTCAGATGCAAGCAGGCCTGAGGCAGAGGGCTGGCTGTTGTATGTGCTACAATAGTAGCCATCTTACATGGTTCAAGCTTGTCAGTAATTGCTGAGCTGTGCCATCCTAGGTAGAGATCTTACCTTGGTTAGTTTATTTGTAAGCTGAGGAGCTGAAGAAAAGGAAAGATCTCTGTGTGTGCCTTGATTTTTGTACTTCTTTCAATATCTGATCATGGCTACTGCGAGACAAAATATAGGTGTGTCAGACCAAGGGTCCTACAAATTACAGTTTTATGATATTTTGGGTTAACGTGAAGGTATGCATAATGCTTTCTCACCTTCACTCAGCTGTGTTGAAAACAAGGACTAAACGGGGCCTTGGAAATAGCTTTACCAGTAAATCACAAAGCCTTCAGTTTCATGGGACAGCAGAACACATGTGACATGGACCAGCTGGTTGTTTTTGCTTTTTAGTACCTGGTAAAATGCTGTCTCCTCCTTGCAAATCTCAGTTGTGTCTGGACATGAGTTTCCCACACTCAGCTTTTCTGTCCTTTCTCCCTGACATGACCTGGCTGAATGCAGGATGTGGAGATCCGGTCCAATGCTGCTGCTTACCTACCCCAGATCACCCAGCTCCTCAACAGTGTCCCCCGCCAGATGCTGCTGCTGCTGAAGACCAATGACTTATTAAGGGGAATTGAGTCAGCTCTGCATACACGAGCCAGTGCCAGTTCCTTCCTCAACATGTCTCGCTGCTGCATCAGAGCCGTGTCTACGTAAGTCTTTTTTCCAGACATCGCAGCCCAGACACAGAGCAGCCTCCAGATATGGAAGGCTGGCTGCTCTCTGAGGGCTAAGGAGAATCCTAGGGCCAGCAGGCCAATGGACCAGTCTCACAGCAAGTACGTGAGCAAGCAGTGTGTCAGGATTGCTGGAGTGCTACAAATGTGCAGCCAGTGAAGGCTACAGCGGTATGCACCTGTCCTTGTTGAAGTAAAGCTGGGCATGGAGGGAGAGGATGCCATGGCCTTGGGCACTGTATGCAGTGCAAAGGGAACTGGGCTCATGTGAGAGCAGGCTGTCTCTTCTGCCAAATTTGTGCCAGAAAAGGAGACTCCAATTCCTCAGGAACTTCTGTTTGGAGAAAATCTGTACTCCTAGGAGACCTGACAGCTGGTGATTATCCAGGAGTGGGACAGTCTACTCCCCTGGGAAGGGTTGGTTGTACGGAAGGAAATTGTAGGATAGGCCATCTTCCTGTTGGACTGTGTCCTGCTGGATCTAATGCAGCTGTTTCTCTCATTCTAGGTATCAGAGGAGCAAAAGTCACTCAATTTTCAGGAGGATCCACATCTCACTCACAGAAGCACTGAGTCTATGGCAGATCAACTTGTATGAACTCTTTCTGTGGCTGAAAGGGTCTGGTCTGGGAAACTGGGTCATTGCTTTCCTGAGCCGGATGCACTATTCCACGTAACTGTCATGAACTGATGGGAGAGGCTCAAGTGTTCCCGCCCTCACTTCTACTCTCCATGGCACATTTGCATTTATGATTTTTTCTGTCTGTTCTGTGGGCTATTCTTGGGTCTTGCTCCTTGTTACATGCTGCACTGTCCTTGCTTGTTACAACACAGCTTTCTCTGTGGCAGCAAGATTGTGGAGTAGGTATGAGGGTTCTGCTAAGATTGTGGAGTAGGTATGAGGGTCCTTTCCTAAACTTTATAGTTTAGGAAAGGAAGGCATGGTATACTGTGTGTCAGGAAAGGCATAGTACTTTCTCTCCACATTTGAACTGGGGAAATTCCACACAGATTCCAGTGGTACTGCACTGGAAGCAAAAGACTTTTCTAGTCTCTTTCTTAAACAATCTTACAAAATTTAAAAAAATCACTGCCCTGCCTAGAATACCCCCAAACCCCATCCCTTTAAATTACAATATGATGTATTTTAGCTATTGCAGAGTCTCCCTAGTCTAACATCTGCTCAAATGTGCAGAGAGTTTCTCAGAGAGAAGTGAGACCTTGTGGAGAGCTGGCATTATGGCTTCTACTTCCAGCACTAGGGCACCCTAATGGTGAGAACAGTGGACTGGAACCCTGGCTTCCTGAGGTTCATCTCTTCTGTTGTCAGCAAGTGCCTATGTGGTTTTGGACTTTTTCAGTCCTGTTTCCTTGCAGTTGTAATGAAGGAGACAGTGGTCCTATGGTTTGTGGTTTTTATTTTTCTTTTTTCAAAAATCAGGGATAGGAAGAGGAAGGACAACTCAGGGCTCTGAAGCTGCTGGTAATGTATGTGTACTGTACAGATGCTGCCACACAGCCAAAATAAATGTGTTGCATCAAAGATATTTGTAGGATGGATGCCAAGCTCTGTACTCAGGGTGATATTGTGACCTCTAACCTCAAACCTGTCTCCAGGGGAGTGAGTGATGCAAGGCAGTGCTTGTTAACTGCGAGGTGAATGAAATACCATCTTGGTCCTTCCTCTGCTCAACCGGTTTGTTCCACATCCAGATCCTCTGCTGTTGCATCAAGTGTGTTGGGATGGAGTGGAGGAGTGGTTACCATCCCCCTGGTAGGACACACCACTCCTGGCCAGCCAGATCCATGCCATGCCTGCCTCCTCCCTGTCTGCAGAAGTGTGCTGCAGCACGTCTGTGAGATGTCACCATCCCCATGCTGCACATTGAGCATTTTGCCTTGTCACTGCCTGTGACATTTCACTGCTCTTGCCTCAGATGAAAACCTGCCACTTGCTCGGTGGTGCAAGTGACAGATCTGATGACTCTCACTGCAACTGCGGGATGGTTACCAAGAAGTCTTGCCCAGTGGTATCTCTTTTGCTGATCCTAGGAGGTGACCCCGCTGTTTGTGAGGATTCCACTAGCGAGCAAGATGGAGGTGACTGCTGAAGTCATTTCAGCTATTTCATCAGCTGTCTTGGTGAAAAAGGGGCTCCATGCTGAGTAGCAAAGATTGAATGGGAATGTTCCTTCGCTGCCACCAAGCTTGTTCAGGTTTGGCTGAGGTTCCCTGAATCATTAAGGCTGTGCCTGAGAGTAAGGCACAAAAAAGGCATGTAGTCCTCCCATCTTCATACAGCTTCCCAGTTTGCTCAGTTGTGAAACATCACCTTGCAGTATGTCCACTCGCATGTGAAGGGAATCATGGGGTAGAAGTGTGGGTAAGTACCTGTGTGAGTCTTCAGTGAACTGACTCTCTTACTGGCTGTGCAGAAGAGGAAATGGATTTATTCACAAAAGGTACCTGACTGCATGTGCACTTGGACATATTGAGTTAGTGACGTGGAAATGTGGCTTGTGACAGTGACGGTGTGTTTTTGGTCTCCTATGCAGTCAATTGCTTGAGCCTTCCCTATGATGGGGACAAGCAGGAGTGATGTGCTTTCCCATCTTTGCTAAGCACGAAAACAGAAAGCAAACTAAGAAAAATGTCCTCACAAAGCTTGTCCCCCACCTATGCAGTGACAAGTCAGAGATTCTCCCTGCTTCTGGGTTGTGTAATAGCATCAGGGAATAGAGTGGAGGTGACTGCAATGACGAGACTCCTGAGTCGACATGAAGTCACAGGAATCCCAAGGTAGTGATCCTGCAGTCTGGATGTGAGTAAACTGGTCATGTGAGCAGTCTTGCTGAATCAGTACCTTTCTTGGGCAGTTAAAGCTGGTAGCCTGGCCACTGGGGGATATGCCTGTCTCATTCTCTTCACAAGCAGAGCTATGCTCAAAAAACTGGTCAAATGCACTCAGTCACCTACTGTGCAGCCCCTTCTTTTAGCTGCCTCTGCAAAAACTGTTGCTAAGCCCTGTCTAGAAATAATGACCAGAGCGCTGTTTGGATCTCTCAAAGATCTGTGAAAGCTCATTCCTTAATGGGATCCTAGTCATATAACTCATTTCCTGAGGATCCTGCAGCTGATATCTGCGTGGATTGCTGAACCGCAGCCTGCTCCCAGCCAACCCTGTTCTTTCATCCCACCAAGACCCAGCTACACAACTGCTAACAATGCTGCTTGCGGAAGGTGCGAGCTCTAAAAGTGGAAGGGTGTCATCAGTCCCTCAGACTCATTTTTGGCAGCATGCAGCAGTCAGACAGCAGGGTATGTTTGAAAGAGCTTTGTCTATTGACATTAGTTTCTGCCGGGAGGCTGTGTGCGGCAGAATTAGCAGTGGGACTCCTCAGTCAGTTTTGCTCAGCTCTCTCCCTTCCCACAGTCAATCAATGAGAGTTTGCCTCAGGAAAGAACAAGCAAACACCCAGCATTTGACCCTTTAACATTTTTGCTTTGTCTTTTTGCTGAATGCTCTCAAAGGTGAATCTGTTAAAAGGCTTTTGAAAAGACACCTCCTCATCCCAACTGTGCTTGTCGAACATGGATAACCTGCATCAGTTCTGTGCACTTGGCTTCTCCCTCCAACCTGCGTTTGTTGGTGTTCTCACCGCCAGCAAATGCAGTCTTTGCTGTTCTGCTTGCAAGTTGACACTCTGCCTGGGTTTAGCTGTGAATGAACTGCTCTCTGCTTGGTGCAGGTATTGAGCATTTGCTTTAAAGCAGACTCCTGAACGCACAGACTCTTTCTCAGGACAGACAACTGGGGTGGTTAGGCTGAAGCCAGAGATGCAAAACTAATGTGCCACTTTCTGCTCCTATTGTATGAAATACTGCATTATAGCTTGCTAATGTCTTCCTTCCTAATAGCTCTTGGTGCTCTCAGAGGTGCTGAGAAGGCAAAAAAAAGCCTTCCAACTGATATTTAAATGTGCATCACTGGGTTGGCTTAAGGTGGAAAATGGGGGTAGTCAGTGAGAATGGTGTTGCCTTGCAAAGCTGTGCAGGAGCTTAGGGTCGCAGGTGAACAGGTTTCTTTCGTAACCAAATCAAAAAGTGAGAGAGCATTAGTCCAAGCTAAACACCAGAGCTTTACTTAACATGTCCAGTGAATTTTAATGACAATGGGTTGGCTGCATACAGATGTACAGATTTAGGCTGCGCTGTGCCATCTGCCATCTTGGAGGACTTGTGAACCTGGTGCAGTCACAGTGTAGAGGATTCCCAAACTAGCCACCGTCTGCATCTCATAGCAAGTGAACTGCAACCACCACTCAGCCTGGCCACCACTGAAGTTGATTCCAAATGGGGTTGTTAGGGCTACGTAACTCTTGGTATGGTTCTTGCCTCTAGCCACTGCTTCTGTCCATTTCCCCTCTACAACTGTCTCTGGAGGCAACAGCCACTCCACACTCACTGCCTCTTACTATGCTACATGTGGTCAACCTGCAAAGCCCAAAGGCTTTCTGCTTCTGGTTTGCTGATCTTCATGCACTCCTGGCTGGGCAGGCAATGGCCATTCTGCCCCACTGCCTGTGAGAGGGACCAGCTCTGGCAGCTTCATCGTGAGCCATTAATAGCCGTGCTGGGCAGTCCTGCCAGGCTGCAGGCAGCTCTTCGGAGAGCAGCACAAGGTTCCGTGTGATGCTGTGTGATCCCAGCAGTTAATGTTTCTAGCTCAGACTGGGAGCTTGAGGTTTGGAAGGGAGGAGACTTGAAGGAAGGAAAAAGGAAAAATAAAGATGTGCCATCTTTCCCATTTAGTTAGTAAATACCCAAAACTGTTGTGTCTGTAAGCTGATGCATAATCTTTAAAAGCTTCTGGTCTGCTCTACGTGCTTTTTGTTTTGCAGGTTGCCCAGACACAAGCAGACAAAGTGAAGAGTTCCCCTCCCGCAACCCCACATGCCACTGCAGTGTGGTGTAATGCTGAGGCACAGCCATTTGCAGGCATTTTTGAGCTTTTTTTTCTTTGTCTCTGTGGAGCTTTCATGTGGCTGTTATCCTCCCTCCTCCATATGAGACTGAGGGCTCTCCTGAGCTTTTTGTTCCAGCTGGTCAGCTAGCAGCTGTCACTTGATGGGGATGCAGGCTGGTGCATTTGAAGCCCTCAGCTTGGGGCCTGTCTTGGCTCCCTGTGGTACAGAGCTGGGAGGCTTGGCAAGGCTCTGCAGTCCCTCTTGGCCACCTGACTTTAGCTCCACCAACCTGCCTGCAGGCTGGGGACATCCTTGTTATTCCAGGCATTTGCTCAGGACTGTGAAAGAGCTGGAGAGTGAGAGAGTGGCATCAGTAATTCATGAATTACCCTCCTGAGAAACATTATCCTTCCCAAACATCATGCAGGTGACAGTAAAATTCCCTGACTTCTTACTTCATGAAGAGTCACTAGAGCCTTTCTCCTGAAAAGAGAAACCAGCAAAGTCGTAGCCCTGCTGAAAAGGAGCAGGAGGGGGTTGTGGTGGACCCACATAAGCATGAGCTTGCAGTGTGTTCTCATTTATACTGGTGGAAGTCACATCCTTGGTTATATATGGAGCATGGCTGGATTGTTGTACTCTTCTGTTTGGTGCTGGTCAGTCCAGACCTGAACCATTGTTCCCCTTTTGAGTCTCTCATGTCAAGAGGATGTTGATAAACTGGGCAGGGTCTGTTGGAGAGCTATCAGCATGGCCAGGACTTGCTTCCTACAGCCTGAGAAGGAGATGGGCTTATTAAATCTGGCAAAGGTGAAGCAAAGGGACGTCCTGATAATGGATAACAACTGAGAAGAAGTTAGAGAGACAACAGAGCCAAAATCATCTTGGCAGTGCCAGATAATTTAATG